CTTGACCGGTCATTTCCACAAGTTTGACAGGAGTTTACAAGGTGCTTCATAGGCAATAACAAGGCTTGCAGTTTGTTGACAAAGCTATCCGGTAAACACATGTGCACATGAACAGAATTTGGTATGCTGACAAGAGCTCACAGGTACGCCCCCCCCCCCACAAGTTAGCCCCCAAAAATCTTATGCGTGGCAGATTGGGAGGATTTGGTTAACTTTGATCATTTTGGCTTGTCTGTTACATTCAGAGTTCTTGGGTAGCCGCCTTCATCGTGCAGTCAGAAACCTTCTTTTGCAAGGAGCTTGAGCAAAAGTTGTTTGCTTTGCTTATCCCAAAGAACACCTTCAACCAGCGAAGCCAAACTTCATTCACACATAATTATAAAAATAAATATAAGCAGCAATCACACTAGCGGAGATCAGCGATTTCATCGACTTCTATCAAATTATTGCTGAATATTTGGCGTGCATATGAAACACGCCACCCGATTACAAGAAACCTTCTTAAAGCAGTCAGCTAACTACAGTACGCTACAGTAACCACTACGTCACAACTACTGTAGTAATTTAGTTTTCGGAAATGCTCAGCACGAGATGCTGCGATAGTTGGTTGAGATTGTGCATGTATCGTTCGGATGTCAACGCTTTTGGAAGAGACGACTTCTTTGCTTGGTCATAGAACTTGCCATGTGGAAGTGGATGGAGACAGGCTCGGAGCACGTTGGCAGCGGCTTCTTCCTGGAAAAAAGCTGATTTTGCAAATTTTCATGAAAACTTCAAATACTGTTAGTGAGCATTTAGGGAGCGGGAGTAACCGCCTTGTGAATAGAGTCGTTCGCGCTGAAGTTAGTTGGGGCGTGTCAACGGCGCGTAGAATTTGGCGCAACGCCAACCTGTTCCATCAATAGTTGCAGCTTTGGGCGTTCAAAGAGTGGTGGGAAAGGAGCGCCAAAAGTCACGCGCCGTTGACATCCCTTCTGACGTCTGGGTAACAACTGTAGGTCACTCATTGGTGGACTGATTCCTGCCTAAGATAGCCATGCCCTCTAACCTTTTGCTTCCGAACCCCTCTGCGATGGAGGGATGAAGCTGAGTACGTGGTAGTGTAGCACGCTCAGTCGCTCTATTTTTGGTCCTCCGTTCATGACCCAAAAAGGACGGAAAAAGGTAGCGCTGAGTGCCCACTTGCAACTTGTGGAGCTCAAGCTCCAGGCTGTGGCCCGCAGAGCCAACGAATTTCCCCATCCCTATAGTGCCGGTAAACTTAATGCCAGTAGAACAGTATTAGTTTGCCAGCCCTGTAGGGACTGATGGATCTATTGAGCGCTAGTGCACTCGCATGGAAGGACAGAAGTTTTCTTAACCTCTACCTCTCACCCAACCCCCCCCCCGCCCCCGCCCCACCTCTGAACCGTTGCGTAGGCCAAGTCGCACTGAAAAGTGCTAGGATTGTGAATGGAAGCAGGATGTGTGGCGGATTAAGTCTCGGAAGGACGGGAGGCTTCATCCTTTATGAGTCCAACTAAAGATCCCTAGGAGCCATCTTCGTCTAAAGAAGCCTCGGGTCTTATAGCTCCTCCCATGTTCCTTTTGTCTATAAAATGCGCTTTCAAATGTGCATGCGATCCTGAATAGGTAATCGCACACGTGGCGCGTCCAGTAACAAAACTCACCACGCTGATCAGCGTCTTCTTGAAAACGGCAAGAAATCGTCGATGGCGATTGGGCATATTTCGGGAGACGTTAGTGACGGCGTTTCCTGGATTCACAGCCACCGCAGTCACACCATCAACACGATTCAGACGTGATGCCAACAGAGTGATAGCGAATTTGCTGAGAGCATAAGCTCTCCAGCCGGATCTCACTCGTGGTCGGAACGCTTCAAGCCATTCATCAGCTTCTTTAGGTACACGCCAACGAGGCCATGTAGCACCGCAAAGCCTGCAATTTGCAGGAGTTGTTGACTGTTGGATTATTTTTCTAATCTTTTCGTGGTAAACAAGTGATTGCTCACTAAGTGATTGCTATTTGTGGAGATTCGTAGATTCTTATACGTAAAGATGATTAGATGACTCACTTGAATAAAGCCGATGAGACACATACGAAATGGATTTGGTGCTTTAGCGGACGGCATTTAATCAGCACATCTGCCAAATACATGTGGCCCAGCACGTTTACCTGAAGAAAGGATATTCAGCTTGGATTTCCTGGACGTATGGTCATTTTCGCTGCAAACGCTGTGGCGGGTCAGAGGGCTCGATTTGACGTGGCGTCCACCAACCGTTGTCGCTTGCCCGCTTCAACAGCTGATGAAACGGGCTGGCGCCGCGCCCAGCCAGCCCCTCGTTTTTTGACGCGCCCTAACGCCCTAACAGACTTATCAAGGCCATGAAGTTTGGAGTTCTAGGAATTCTATACAATGCTGCAGGCTAATGGTACAGGCAAGGGTACAATGCACCCATTATGAGGACCCGAAAGGAACGAATCAAAGCTATACTCCCCTGTAGTGGGGCAATTCATGGCCCACTCTCCACCCTTGACCTCAGCAGCTTAGATGTAGCCTTTGCCGACTGCTGACGCTCCTTAGATGTCCTTATTTTTGATCAGCTTTGCCTGCCGCGCTTGATACTGATCTCTACTGTGCTGACGCTCTGGCAGTAATCTCCCTTCGGGAGCCTTTTATGAGGTCCACCTCTTACAAGGAGTCAGAATCCGAAACGTTATACCGTTCATGCTACTCGATTCGGGAGACTTGGTCGCGCCAGTCGACCGAAATCAGTCGCTAGTCGTTGGGTCACAGCAACGGCCAAGAAAAATGTAACCAAATGTAACTGAATTAGCAGTTGCGATGGACCAACAATTAGGGGTGGAGCGTGGTCGGTCGCAGCCGTCCATTTGTCGAGTGGTGCCACTGTCATACTCCAACAGCGGAGTATGAATGCAGCCTCAGAACGACGAGGGCCTGTAACAATTCTAAAGGCGATGTGGGGAATGTTCGACATTGGCTCTTAACGCTTACGGTAGGGTAGAGCAGGGCCTTCCGTCATGGCTTGTTCTTTCTTCTTTTATTTTCTCAGAAAGGTAGAACCCTCTAGTGCCAAGGGAACCCGCCAATGCCTACAGTGAGCTCCAACGTGCCCTTACTGTTGACGGTTGCTGTGTAACTTAAAGGCACGTTCCGCGATAAACTAAGGCTAGGTTTCATAACCGTGCAAGTGGTCAAGCAGGCAAGGTCATCGCTGCTTATTGAAGAGTGAAAGAAGCAAGCAAACGCAGCGCGCTCAGGTTTTAGGCCCATTTGGCGCCCGATAGGCCCATGCCGGCCTCCAGTGACCCTGTCGTTGTCAGACTGCCATTGCGCTCTTCTGCGCACTTGTCGTTTATCTGGCCCATCTCTCGTTCATGTATGATGTATCGCCGCCTTTCGCAATGCACAACTTGAGTCTGGGAGCCACCTTACGCTCGTCCGGTGTGATCGATCAACCTGCCAATAAGAAGGTCTTATTCGTGCGCTTTTTCGTGCTTCCTTCTCCATTACTTCCTTCCTACTTCAATAAGTCAACAAACACTAAGGCTAGTTCTATTTTTGTAACCGCATTACCTATGAACCGTGGTCGCGGAAATTGCCTTTAAGTTTTCATGGTCTTAGAGCGCATTCAAACGTAGACTTTGCCTGAAAAGTATGAGTATCTCACCTGGAAGCATGTCTCAACCCCGTCCACTGTCGATGATTCATCGGGAAACATTGTACCGGCATTAAATATAACAATATCGAAAATCCTGAAATAACGATGCAGTGTAACAAGTTTTTGGTGACCGGAAGAATCTCTGAACCCGACTGGGAATGTCCTTCAGACTAGTGAAGAATGCTCACTTCCGTCAGGGTTCAAAGACACTACAGAAAAATGGTGACACTTACGATTTGCTCTGAACGACATCATTAACGCCAGCAATAACCGACGACCAGATGGAGAAGTCAATCTCGACGATGTCCACAGGAATCTGAAAGAAAACTTTTCAGGCTGATATGGTACATTTCTGCAAGAGTAAAATCGCCAGCTACGACACGTCGTACCTCCTCAGAGTCGCTAGAGCGACGGTAGGGGTCCTATTAGCCTTCAAGAAAATCTGTTCGGTTACTGAGTGAGATCTTGGTGACTTTCATAGGGTTTTTTCTGATTCAGGTGTGCTATACCCGCAGGCTGGGAGAGTTCCGGGAGATGGTAGGTAGTATGGGGACGGGGAAGTTAAGGGTCGCATCGGGGAGGACACCCTGAGGGGAGGTGTAGTATTCCGCAAAAATTTTTCCCAGCGGTAGGACGAGCCCTGTCACCAGCTCATTTAGACTCTGAATGTTTGTTCAAGAGACATTTCAACCTTGCCCCTCCCCCCCACCCCGTCAGAGTCCTTTCTTTTACTGCAGAATGTGTTCATGAACATAGAGTGTTCATCTTCCGCCGTAATGGGTTGGGCGGAGACTCATAGCCACTGTGTTTCCCATAGAGTACCTCCTCTTACCGTAATAACAGTAGGGTTGCACCAATGAGGAAAGGCGCAATGGTTGTGAATCTCCGCCCTTTCCGCGTTCAAGTGGTTATCACGGAATGTTCTTTGAAAGCAATGATGCTTCAGCTAATGGTTTCAACTTCTCGTAGCTGCTTGGTCCTATTCAAGCCGGCCTCAGAATGCGCCATACATATCACTCTCATTCAGTATCACATTGGCTTTCTTCGCGAATATGTTTTATTCGAGGTGGTGGTGTACTGGCGAGTTGTAAACTGCTGTGTGGATGGTAGTGTTGAATTGGAAGCGACGAGCGAGACAGAATTTTTGGGGAGCCGGTTTCGGTTGCAGGGCAACCAAAGCCTTCTACTTCTGGGGCAGGTAATTGAGACCGTTTGGTAGGATCCAAACATGACTTATATTGATATGCCCCCCCTAGGACCTTGTACAGTTCATTGAAGTTCTGAATGGAAGGGAAGGCGTTACGCATTCCAAAAAGGAGTACGTTAACGGAAAAACCTATTAGGCGTCAAAGTTTTTATGTTTTTCGACAAACGATTCGGGTAATCAGGGGTGACTGCATCGTTGTGTGAAACACATAGGGAGTACGAACTATTCCGCTGAGAAGAGAGAGGGATGGGTCATATTTGGCCGCTGGGGGAGCGTGGGGGGGGAGGGTGTATGCGCCTTCAAGAGAAATTTGTTGCGTTGCGAAAAAGTTTCCCCTGGTTGTTGACTTTTCGCGTGATGTTTCCTGTTTCATGTGTACTATTTACCACCTATTTACCCCCCCCCTTTCAGCTCGATGGAAAATGTGTGAGTGAAAAACCGAGAATCTGGAAAATTGGTCAGTAGGTGTCGGGGAAGTGGGAGGGGGTGGTGGTACCGAGACCCAAATTTAGGTGGCGGGAGGTCGTACTCCTTCTCTTAGAGGGGGGGGGGTCGTCCCTACACCACTATTTCACAGATCACGATGCTGTACCTTGATTGGGATCAGTGTTTTCACTTGTTGAGGGTGGACTATCCGCCTACGAAGGGATAAATAGCTTAAATTCTGGACATAATCTGATGGCTAGGACAAACCAAGTGCCACGGGCGCCTCTAGTTGACCTTTTGGAGAGCGAAAAACTGTGGCCCTCTTTCTAGACATATAGAGAGTTTGTTAACGTCGCTTGCCCTCGGAAGCTATCAAGCTAATTTTGTTTTTATTTTTCAATTTCGTTTTCTTCTATGTCCTTATGAGGAAGGTACTTCGCATTTATTCTGTTTTCTTAGTGTTGTATTCTGTGACTTGATTAAACGCCTCTCCTCACTGCTCACGTCACGAAATGCCCTTTGAAATGGAATAGAGATTTAGAGAAGTTTTTCTGCAAGACATTGAATGAAGGACATTGCAAAAACCGTCTTCAAAATGAGCTTAAACTTCTTGGAAGCCAATCGCGTTGACGAGAGCACCGAAAATGCACTTACATTTCCCGACAAGAAAAGTCTTCAATATACTGTGAAATACGAAACGAATTTCTCAGAACCCTTGAATGCTTCAGAGATGAAAATTTCATAGAATTTCAGGCGCAGTTTGGCTAGGTAGGGGCATTTTGTACGTTCGCTAGTTCCCTTTATTAGTTCCTGTTGAACTACCCGTCCCACCTTGGTAAGACCTGTAAACTCTTGTCAGGTGCAAACTAAGCTCCTGCTGGGCATAGCTTTACAGGACTTCACAGGTCTCCTCTGGAGGCATCGGCAGTGGTCAGTGGGAATAACCCAATGCCTGCTAGATGAATTACGCTCAGTTCCTGAGTTCTTGAGAGGGACAAGTTCATTCAATTCAGCTGTTTTTGAGATAAATCCTGCGATTAACGAACCTGAACTACCTAATCGGGTCCCCAAACACGGATATTGCCCCGAAGGCCTCTCAGCGTGCACGAGGAGCGCTTGCTACCGACTTATGGCTAGGCCCCTTAAGCCAGGCCCACGTAGGTTGAATATGTGTTGTTGTTGGGGGTCGGCTTCGCTAATCTTCTGTCTTCATAATGATCTCTTGGCCTCCAGAAAGGATCTATTCAGGGCATCTTCGATAGCTTCTTCGGAGTTCTCTTTCGATGAGGATTTTCTCAGCACTGCAACTTCAACCTGAGCACCAGTACTTAAGAATGGATTCAGAACGCCGCGATTCAGCAACTGTTGATAGGTAGAATCTTCTTGGAGTATGGAATGAATAGTTCCAGGAAGGCCAGGGGGTGTAGCACTCGTCCATCGAGTGGAATACTTAGAAACTTTGGGACTGCTTGAAATGAAGTTTTTCGCGGGCTTGCGCTAACACACCGAACCTTCGTTATTTCTTGCTCTTACGGACCTCTTTGTCTGCTCTCTCTATACGACGCAAGGTCTTGCACAATTTCCCTCTTAGTTCCCAAACTCTCGTCCATAATCTCAAAATCAAATGCAAAATAAAGAGACTTATATGTGGAAAGGTAGGACCTATACAGCTGAGTTTGAAAGCACTCTTGCTGTTTGACTGTGAGTCAAGCAGTCGCAGAAAGAGTTTCGAGAAGGATAACGGAAAGTACTACTCTAAAAAGGAGTTCTCTGAGCAGAACTGCTGCGAAGGAACTGGTTTCTACAGAATTAGTGCAAAACCTTCACCCAGCACGTTTACTTAGTTTTCATAATTTGCCCTGTTTGGATTTAGTGGAGCATTTTTCCGCTAGTTTTTGTGTAGTTCCTGAGATTGCATGTTTCAAGTAGGTGAAACTTCAGGCTTCCGTCAAGTGTAAACGAAGTTTCAAGAGGCATCGGCCGTGGTCCATGGGAATCAGCAAAATGCCCTACGAAACCGATTTGTGCCTGAAATCTCACCCCTACCCCTTCCCATGACTCCATTAGGTTGTGTATTCTACTATTTAGGATTCCCTCCTAGACCAACCAACCAACCACATTCCTCCGAGGGCTAGCCGTAAGCACAAATCACAGCCGTTGGCCCTTATCATTGATCTCATAGGCCTTTATACATATGATATTGAGGATTCTGAATGAGAGTAAGGTTCATGGCGCATTCCACAATACGGGAGGGCTAATCAACGCTGACTGGCGCAAGTACCAGTCAGTGTTGACTAGTCCTCCCACAGTTTTCTTCAAAAATAACCGTCAGATCGCCAACTGCTCGAAAGTCTATGTTTGCCTTACTACATTTTGAATTTCCTCGATGAACTGTGCTCAAGCTGCCTTCTAAAAATCACCTGTTTCTCGGCGAGGATCCGTCGGGTAGCATCAGCCTTCTCTTGATTCCGAACGGTGATCGTAACCTTATGGCCATCTTTGACGAGTTGCTCGGTTAGGGAAAGACCTGAGAAAGTAACATTTCTGTTATGGAACACTCCTTGTAGCGGGGTCCAGCAAAGAAATTCGGAAGATTCTGCAAGAAATATAAGACATACCGATTCCAGACGAGGCTCCAGTCACAAGAACACGTTTTCCGGACATGATCTGTTGCTGCTTGAGCGGTACAGAACGGAGATCGCAGCTAGGGTGTCAAATCGCCTCCTTTTATAGTCGTCTTGGCGCCGCCCCCTTGCAGACGCCAATTGTATTGCATTCACCATTGCAGCGCAATCGCAGAAAAACTACTGAGGAACTTATTAGATGTTGATAACATACCGTAATTCTGTTAGAAATCATTGCTTACTTTAGGCTTCCCCTTATAAGACCCCCTTTGTGAGAGTGAAGTAGAGTTAGAATGCGTGGGCGTCATATGATCTAAAAGATGACGGCAGTGAAGAGGAGAATGACGGCATTTGCCAATGACTGCACTATTTTCCCGATGTTTCCCCTGCGTTTCACTTGCTTTTTCATAGGTGATCTGGCCTTTCCCTTCAGAAGTACATGTGCACTTGTCGGGTCGGGGTGATGCTATGTAGCTTTGTTACGAAAACTGAGGAACATCGTCACGTTGCCGTTTTCCCAATGGGCAAAAACCGAGGTGTTCTCGGTGTCTGTTGGTACTAAGTTGATGGAAAGGTCCTCCAAAATGAAAAAATATCGGTTTCCTTTACGAAACTTTTCTCACTGCCGATTCCTTGAATTTCGCTGGGTGTTACTGACTGGTTGCGTAATGTATAATGTTCTGTCTTAATTTGGGCGAGGTCACGTCCTTGTCGTTTAGGAAGATTCTGCAAGTAGACCCTACCTCTCATAGGTTTATAGTATTCTGTATTAAGCGCGCATGGACGAGATCACTCCTGCCTGGCCAGAAGAAAAAAAAAATTTTTTTTCAAAATACTCTCCCCCCCCCTCGAAAGATTCCTTTTTTCCCCACATCAGGCACGGCTCTCCTTCAAACATTTTATCCTCTCGGAATCAAATTAATAATAAACAAAACACATGCCTATAAAGACTCCGTTCTGTAGCAATCCCCACTCGTACGACCACCCCTGTACTGGGGAGCTGTCTGCTTGGGAGGGCATTTTGCGCTTTTGCTACTTCCTGTTGCTAGAACGTGGTCACTAACAGGTCTTGTTTTGGTGGTAGCTGTAAGCTCTTGTGAAGCTAAGGAACGGCAAAAGCAGCTGCTTAATGCGGACAGATTCACAGTCTCACAAGCTGACCTCGCACAGGCTTTTACTGAGACAGCCGTATTGGTGCCTCCACCTATTCAAACGCGCCTTATTTCTTCTGAACTTACTTTACTTATTTCTTTGTTTATTATAGGTAAAATGACCGCATAGAGAATAAGGATGAAGGAAAAATATAGGGCGCTTTTGTTGGAAGCAACCAAAAATGAGGACTAGGATGAGAATTCGCACGCTCGCTATTCTCGCCTTATTAGATCCATTCTTCTGAACGAGATTCACCTTTCAAGCCTCTGGGCCATTTTGCTCTGTTTGCTACTTCTGTTGCTTTGGTCGGGGCGTTCTGTAAAAGGGTGCCTGCAGAGGATTTAGGGGTTAGTGCAGGCTGTACGTCGGTATTTACTTGGTGCACAAATATTCCTTTCAAGTTCTTCTTCTCCCATCGCTCTCAAGCTAAGCGCGGAATAAGCCGCATCGAATAAAAAAAGTGGAATTTTTTTCAGATTTCTTACTAACAGTGAGTGGTATCGTCCGCTCATGTGGTGGTGAGGACGACGATCCCGTCGAAACGTCAGGCCAAGTTCAATAAAGTCTTCCACCTACCAACCTCTTTGGCAGAATAATTACAACTTGAAAGTGGAATTTCTATTCTGATGGAAAGGACACTGCTTTCCGTTTACTACCCCGGTCTTCCAATGTCAAGCCAGTTCACCTTATTCCCAAGAGGTAGAGGGCAGCCTCCGAGGATAGTTAGATCGTTTGAACACGAATATTCACATCCACTTCCTTCGAGGCCGTTTCTCGCCTCGTGCCAAAGGTGCCGACGAAAAAATGCCCTAAATCACCAAATTGGCTAGGAACTTGTCTCCAGGTAAGTTTAACCCCAGTTCAAGGCTGTCACATTTGCTTAACATGAAGTCGTATGACGCCCCGTTAGAAACGGCACCACACCCCGCGCAGACTCTAAGATTTTTGCCAAGCGAAGTGTTAAGACGGTCAGCGTGACGCGGCGAGACAGGGCGGCACCCTTTTGGGAAACCTGCGACAGTCTTCCTTCCCTTTGCTAAGGCTCAGCCTTATCAGAAGAAGGAATCACTATTTCGGATGAAGGGTGTAGACTAGCAGAAGAAGGTCACCCACCCCTTCTTTTTCCCCCATCCTCAACCCCCTTGGCACCCCAAGCACCTGTTAGATTTATGTTCACGGTGTCAAAGTACCCGTGGAAATAGAATTTTGTGTGATTCAGGGATTTTCAGCGCCTATGCCTGTCGCTCCACCGCCAGGCGATTTCCATTCCTAAGGGAAGTTCGTGCTCTCAGGGTCAAACTACCCCTGGGAACCGATTCCCAAGCGAGGTACTGATCTGATCTTCAGAAGTTGGGGCAGTAAAGAATGATAGCGCCAAGGAGAGCGCTATCGGAGTTGCACAATTCATCCGTTGGGTCCCGAAGTGGGTCATCCCTGCCCTCACTATCACTGTTGAGGACGATTATCGGTACGATAACGACTTTCTCACGGTACTCAGCGGACGAGTTGTGCAACTGTGATAATGCCGTTCTATCTACAATACCATGACCGAGTGACGGTATATTTTCTATGCTACGAATTACGTCACGGATATCAGAATCAGGCGCAGTTCAGCTAGTAGGGGGGGGGAGTTTGCACTTCCGTGTCTTCCCATCGACGTGTCCATTGTTTTGCAAGAATGTATAGGAATTCTTTCAAGGACTAACGTTTTGCGCTCAAAAAGACGCTGTAAGCACCTTTTCAAACGATTCAAGGACGGCCGCCAGGCTCAAGGTGCATGGCGCATTACGCAATGAAGAGCACGCCACCATTACCTT